GTGGTTGATTAGTGATTCGACACAGGGACCCTAGACTGTGTAGCACATAATGAGAGCTTAGAGAGCGAGCCATGAACCGATGGGGGGATGGAGGTACGGTGGAGGCGGGCTGAGAGCGGAGGAGAGGATGGGTTTTTATCATAAAGAAAAATCATTTGGACACAAAATAATTTGGATATCTGTGCAAGAAATGGTCCAAATAATAATAATACTGAAAAAAAAAAAAAAAAAAACTATTCGGGCAGATACTAAATCCTTAAGCTACAGTGCTGGTAATGTGTTTACATATAAACAAGAGTTAGGGGATTAGCCCTAAATCCACCGCCAAGCTAAATGGTTTTATGCACTTTTTTTTTTACCCCCCAGTTTGTTTACTTCGATGTCAATTAGGCTAATTTGTTCGACGTCCCCAAATGAGCCACAAGATCCTGAGTGAGTGAACTTTGAAGCCATGTTTTTTTAAGAGCTGCGATTTCCCCCAACGCCGCGCTAACCTCGACTTCACCTCCTATCTGGCCTCCGAGAAACACTAACGGTGTCAGACGCGAAAGGCGGCAGATGTGTGCGCTCCCTTTTCCCTCTGCCTCCGACTCTGCACACTCTCCTCTTTCTTTTGTTCCACTGGCCTAATCCAGTATGTGTGGGCCGGTAAGTTTAATGGAAACAATTTATTAAGTCCGGCTTAAAATGCCATCTGCAGCTAAGCCTCCCAAAGCCGCTAAGCTCCTAGTTTCGCCCCGGAGCTTGCTGTGTTCACGCTTACTGTAATGCTCTGTTTAAAATGAGCACAACGGGTCAAAATTAATCAGGATTACAAGGGCACAAATCCACTTCAGAAATGGGTTTTCTACCAATCTTACCCCTCCACCCCTCCTTTGCTATCCCAAGATGCCTTGGGATTTCTGGTAGGGAAGCACACCGCGTTGGCTTACCCGTCAGGCGAAGACGATAGATGCTCTGAGAGTACAAGAAGCCTGGCGAAAGGCGGTTTTAAGACCCATCCATGCAACATTCAACATCATCAGCGCAGATTCCTAAGAGTTCCTCTCAGATATTTCGAGCTGCTGACAGCTGGGTGATAACTCCCTGCTACTTGGAAAGGCCCGGCATTGTGAAATGTCATGTAAAAGTGTTTATCTGCACTCCGTGGAGGAGCCCTGCGCATGTTCGGCAGCTACTTTTAGCTCTTTATTCGCCTTCGAGCAAGTGACAACGCTAAACTCTGACCTTCGATTCAATAACAGCAGCTCGCGGTGAAGCGTGAAAGTCTTTGCAGCGTCTTTACTTAAACACGCCATCCTCCAGTAAATCGATAATCTGCAGGAGGTTTAAGACAGGAAGTAAACAAAAACCAATAACTGTTAGATAATGCTTGCCCTCTGATGCACCTTCCTACACCGTAACCACCAACACACAGACACTCAACTGAACTCACACTAGCTCTTGGGTAAAAGCGTCCACAGAGGATTGCACAGTGCCATTCCTGATACTATTACGCTGTGCTATCATCAGGTTGTCAAAAGAGCAGCAGTGGAGAGATGATAAAAATGAAACATGAGAGAGAGAAAGCAAGGGAGTCCCGTTTCATCAGCAACCACAGACACTAATATCTCTGAGTTGTTGATTATTAAGTAAGGGTGCACCGATTATCGGTGCAGATTTATCGGTGCCCATTTGCTTAATTTTGGGAGACCAGCCCATTTTCACATGTGAAGCCGATGTTATCCACCGATCTTATCTAGCTTGGGAAAGGAATAAGAATCAACCACTGTCCTCTTTTGCTCTGACAGAGGACAGTGGTTGCAGACACCAAGTAATGTCTGCATGTTTACAATTAATAATAGTGAGAAAAAGTGTGAACATGACCAAGGTTCGTTTTGACTGTATGATAATTGAGTAATAACACTGCTCCCTCCTCTACCTGCAGTGCTCTCCCAAACAGCTAGCTAAATATTGTTAGCATGCTACAAGTAGCATGTCTGTTGATCAACCGACTGACGGCTGGCTACCTGAGCAGATAGCCTGACCAATTAACCATTACATATGAGTTTAAAATGTGTGCACAACAGGCATTTGAAAACTACTACTAAATTTAGCAGATATTTAGTTTTGCTGAAGTCTTTGTATGTGAATCTAAATAACCAATAAATACGGTTAACATTCCTATAATAGTAAGTCTTATAATCAATAACACTACTGGTTTAAATTTTTATGTAACATTTTTTTCTTAATCGTCACAGACAAGCCCATTGTGGGCAATCAGGACATTACATCAACTGAAAAAGAAAAAAAAAATACATAAAAATAAAACAAACACCTATCAAGTGAATCACACAAGCATTTTCACAGCTCTATGTATGTATATTAATCTAGTATGTACCGTATATGTTTATGCTAAGAGTGTGTCTGTGTGTTTGCATCTGTCGTTGACGCTACCAGCCAGCAGTTCCACAGGCCTGGTGATTAAAGGAAAGAAGCCTTTTCCTTTTTGGCAGTCCCTCAGGGCCCCAAGCTGCTAATGGGACTCACTGTAGATGCAGTGTTCAACAGCAAACCAGAGGAAAACAGCCTGTGGGCTTCCCTGTATTACACACAATGTCCACACACAGAAAAACCCGTTTTGGCCACAAGCAAACAGTGTCCCAGGATCTATTACAGCTCCAGAAAACAAGACTGGAATGTGAGATGAGAACCGACTGGAAGTTATCCCAATTTAACTGTGATAACTTTGTCCTTCATGTTCTTCTTTTTTTTTTAAGATTTTGTTGCCACCTCACTTTCTCTAACCTCTTCCTCTAAACCCTTCACCTACATCACCCAAATAGGATCTGGTTGATCTGTGTGATAATCAGGAGGGACTTTGATTGGATTGTCTGGATTTAATCCTGTGCCCTGCGCTCACTGTAGCACCGACTACAGAGTCATTCCTTCACCTGGCAAACACAGGGGAATTTTTGCTGTTAGTAAGATATCATAAAAGTTACTAGAAATGCTTGTTTCACATCTCATGTTGGTTATGGATCATCTGAGCCACACAGCTAGCATGCATGGTTTCTCTCCAACATGGCTGCCTTGAGCCATGACGATAAGCCAAGCTTTTCACTATTCTGAAAGATTTCAAGATTAAATACAGTTTTTAAGAGTGGAAACTTTAATGAAATGCAAAATGCGACAACCTGGAGTGTGGCGGTAAAACTGTGTTCAGGTGTGTTGACGTATTGTAGTTTTATTAAAACCGCTGCGAAATCTATGAAGCATAGATTTTTGTGTAAAGTGTGTTCTTCCTGTTGTCTCTGCTTCTACAGCTATTCCTGCTGTGTCGGTGTATTATTTCCTCATCAGTGCCACCTTGTGTTCAGTAGAGGGACTGCAGCGAACAATCTATCCACAAATGACAAGGCTATGACTAGCTCCACCACCAGACTACTTTTCACATTAACCTTTTAGTTTCGTTTGTCAAACTTTCAATATTGACAGGATTTCTAATAACTATGACACCCTATTTTAGGGTTTTCAAAACCCTCGAAAACTCGGTGACAGTAACAGACTGAGGTGAAGAAGAAAAGCCTCCCAAAAACTAAGGAAAGCTCATCAAATATCGAGAAGAGACTGTTACAGAGATTAAAGTTGACTGCTTCCTGTTCTGTGAGCTGCTTGCTTATCATTGAGCTGACCTTTAGCTGTGTACTGAGGTAGAGTGGGGTAAAGTCAGGCAGAAACAAATCGTCCTAAAGGCCAAACCTGAACATGTAGAAACCTGGTCAGTGGTGGGAAAAAAAGTAGGCCTGACTACAACACTGGTCTTGCACTATAAGCCAACCAGAAACCTGACAGCAGCAGGATGTTTCTATCAAACATTAACTGAACAATGTCAAAAGATGTTCAATATTATTTAATTTTAAGAACAATTCGTGGGAAGCAGACACTTTTATTTGTTAACTGTTTGTTAATGGGTTTTATCATCACATTCGGACACAACCAACCCTTTGAGAAAATTCACAACCTTGATTTTGAAAATGACTTGGACACCCTGATGTAGATATATAAAAAACAACAACAAAGAATCAGGTTCTTCATAAACGCTTCCTCCTAAATAAAAGAAACCAGATGAAGGAAGCTGCAGCTACAATGAAGCCAAGCCGATGAACGCCGACGTGTTTGTCGAGTCTCCCTGTGAAACCTTCCTCGTCTGTCCGTATGGCTCACAGAACGTGGATCCATCTCATTCCAACCTCAGCCTGTCTTAATGGGGCCTCCTTCCTGCTTCTTGCCCAGAGGGGACACGGCCGCCATGCTGCTGCTATCTGTCACGGCTACGCCCGTCAAACCCCACACCCACATCTGCAGCTCAGACACCTTCACCCCCTGATTTGACCAGCTGAGCTTCACTGCATGTAGTAAATATTAATGTGCCAGAAATACCTGTTGATGTGCGTCACAGAATACACACAAACACACACACAAAACAAAAAGCATGCAGAATCCCCAGTGGTCACGGCGTACAAAAAAAAAAAAAAAGCAAAAAAACAAGGGCCTAATAATTCACATATGTGCATACGTGAATGTGGACAAGAGCGCGTGTTGTCTGGGGGCTGACAAAGCTCTTTTTCTGTCTTTCCTTTGGCATCAATTATGATCCAGGCCTGCTGTCAGAGAGCTTGTAATGCCTGAGGGGAAGTACCCATTTGTGGGAGCATGTGGCAGGGAGGCTCTAAATCCTCTCTAATGAACCAATATGTAGGAGGGCTAAGCCTTTGGCGGGGTCGTCCAAGAAACACCACTGTGCACCCGGAGGAGAGAGAGAAAAAAAAATGCATGCATATGTAGTCACCAGACCTTGTTTATGTCTGGCGACATTTAAATCTGAATGGGAGCTGCAGGATTAGAGAGCCAGAGAGAGCTATGGGCTCATTTGCAATAATATATAATAATAAAAAAAAGGCCACAGATTTTGCTCCGTTTATGAATAAAGCAGAGGAGAAAATGGACGAGGCTCTTACCTTTGGGTGCGGTAGGGGAAAAGAGCTTCTCTGATCCTACATCAGATACCTGGAGGGGAAAAGGAAAGAAAAAAAAAAGAAAAAAGAAACATGAAATTCAGAGATCACGTGAATCTGAAGAGAAACTAATTAAAATCATCATTCGTGCTCCTGGCATTTCTGTTCCAGAGCCACAGCTGCAGGAGCTGATTTATTTATCTGCAGGTGACGCCGTCACAGAATCAATCAGCAGCAGTCGCCCGATCGAACAAGGACAGGAAGCTGCTTCTGGAGCCCGACTTTCCCCTGATGAGGTAACATTAGGTGGCAGTGTTGGGCCACCTGAAAACCCCCCGCACAAGAAACACTGTCAAGGACACAGGAAGGCAGTCGGCTTGGCAATGCAGCATCAGAGGACAAAGACTTGGAGGGGAGGGAAAAAAAATGCTGCTGCTAGGAAATCAGTGACAGTTTTCCACCAATCAACACTATGCACTTCTATTTCTAATTCATCTAATTTCATTTCAACAACGGATCTCTCATGGTGGTGTGACATTGTAGTCGGCAAGCAGTAGGCCTGACGTTGGTGGAGGTCAATATGAGGGAAGCTGAGGACGATTTGACGGAGAGAATCGCATGAAGTTTGGCGACTAAAATCAAAATCACTGCAACGCAACTTGTGTGAACGGAAGATTTCGCCCCTGAGAATCCGCTCCTGTGTTTTCCAGGCGATCGTTTCCCTTCGCTTCAGCTCCTTTCGTCTGACTCGTTAAAAAATCCGCAGGAGCCCGGCATATGTTCCACCCAGAGGGCCCCCGAGTGTCCTTAGCTGCCACGCGTGTATTTCATGCTGCACAAAGGGAGCATATGTAAAGAATGAACAGCAAATCTTGAGAGCGTACAAGGGAGACATAGAGAGAAAGCGGTTGATTCTGTAAACACAGATGGCTGTCCTTGGCATCCCTGTTAGTTCTTCACAAGTGTTTTGAGGACATCCTCTTCTTTCCAAGACCTTCGGATTCCGACTTTTACTGCGATTTGACTTTTTTTTCCCTTTCCTCTTTTTTTTTTCTCCCCCTTCCTACAATGTTTGGATGTCTCTTCTCTCACAAACCACAACAGACCTCGAGTAGAGAGTTGATTCTCTTATGAACTTGCTTTATTAACAGGGCATAAAAACAGAGATATGAAAGCTCAGGGGAAGCCTCCGCCGAGGAACTCGACAGTCAAATCAGAAACGGAAAGCATTAAAGGGGAGAGGATCCGCTGATGACTACAAAGAAACATTTTTCTGTCGAGTTCTGCGGCATATATTCCACGAGGAGACGTTGTGAGTCACTTGGTTGAAGCTCAGCAGAGATTGCAGACAGTAATGGACCGAACAGATTTTCGTTATAAACACTTGATGATTACTGCACAAAACTCTTTAGCTGAGTGTTTTGTTTTTAGCTGCTTGCTGAGTGGACAGATGCTAGCTACCGCAGGAGGAGCAGCAGTAGCAACATGTCTGCAAATGTTGTGCAGCAAATATTCAAGACTCCTGAAAGTTTTCACATTTATGGACGGTTCAATACGCCCATTGATAGACTAATGTTTAAAAGTGATGAATGAACAGATGGGCACACACATCAATGAGTTGAGAGAGAGACCAGAAAATATTGGGTGACTGGACAAATTGACAAAATTATTTTATTTTTGTGAAAACGCCTTAAACTGAATCGATTACGGCCTCTTCTTTTTTTTAGATGCGTCTGGATGTGTCAGGACATTTCATTTATCATTTTATAATACAATGACATTATCTTATGTTTTTAATCAGGCTTGGCATTTTTTTCTTTCCTTCTGTTTCTTTTTAATGCGTCCCATCCAGCAGTGTGGCTCTCAGAGTCCAGCATATTTAGTTTCTCAAGTTGAGCATTACACACGCACGCACCTTAATAAATTGCTTTTAGGTTTATTTCAAATGAAGCGGAAAGAAAGAAAGAAAGAAAGAAAGAAAGAAACAAAGACAGAAAGAAAGAAAGAAAGAAAGAAAGAAAGAAAGAAAGAAATGTAGGAAAAGTAAAGACAGAAGGGTAGACAGAAACATGGAACAAATAGACTAATTGATAAATTGAATAATTTATGCAACTGGGAATGGATGAAGGTCTTCAAACACAAATATTGTTGAATACCTACATTTTGAAAACACATGAATCATATGTCGGACCTTGAGACTGCGTAGGAACTCTGAAGACTAAAAACATTTCTTTGGTCTCCACAAGTGGAACAAAAGGACAAACTCTCTGCTGAAATCTCTTCCGTTTCCTCCTGCAGCAGACACTGTGACCTGGCTCTGGAGGAGAGAAAGACTAGCTGCGCACTGCCCTCTTTCAATCTCCCAAAACCAGAGTGGCCAGGCACCAGCACAGACTCTTTGTTGGCTCTGGATGACATTAAACGCTCCAGTACCAACCCTCGGCACAGAAAACAGCACAACCTCAGCCTTGAATCAAGGCCCTGCAGGCCCTGAAAGAAAAATATGGGCTCAGAGTGAAATGAAGCTTGTCAAATGGACACGGAAGGAGGCTCAGGGTCATGCTCAGAGTGACACGGGGTCATGAAAGTAGAAAAAAAATAAAATAAAATAAAAAACAAAACAAGCCAGGTGAGGCTGTGACTATGTGTAACGGCTAAAAACAGTTGTGACCAAAGCGGTTATCTGGAGTGCGACACAGACTAAGTGTGTTCCTGCGAACCGACGCGTTGTTTGGTACATCTCCTCCTTCCCATTCCAGCCCCGTAATGAACAGAAGCTCTTTTTAAATTGTACCTAAATCCCAAGTAACAGCGAACCAACATTTAAGAGTTTAATGCTGCGTTTTGCACCTGCCAAGTCTGCATGAGTCAATCACACAATCCACAATTACAAGGCTGGCTTGTAAAGGCGATGCTGAAAAAATGGCATGTCGCAGCAGAGCTCTTGTTTCTACTGGTGCTTGTTTTTTTGTTCCAGCTTCCTCCTGCGCGCTGCTGTTGGTCAAGTTTACTGGTTTCTCTCTCTCTCTCTCTCTGGTTCTCTCGGGGCCGCGCTGCCGGCTAACCGAGCCGCCTGCGGTCGCGGTGCGAGGAGGTCATGTGTAACAAATTCTTCACACTCTCTCTGCTGAGGCGACCCCGACTGCCATTACCGACCGAGAGAAAGATGAGACGGACAGGAAACGCTTTTGGAGAGAGGCAGAAAGACGACGAAACGGAGGAGCAAAGGGCACGGTTTTCAAAAGGAAGCGGGGAAATTTAACCATTAAACAAAACTAAAGGGTGGCGGTGGGAGGGGAGGGAATTTAAGCCACATTGCCTAAGAAGCCAAAAAGCCCTCGGAGCGGGCTGCAGGAAGCTTGACCTTTGCGAGGGCCGTCTGCTATTTGAGCCTGGGGCTTCGGGGGCCTGGCCCCCTCTCTGGAGGGCCGTCAGCTGGCCTCCGCTTTCCTTCTCTATTCTATTCATTAGCTATGCTTTATGATTCAGCTTCCTCTGAGCCACACAAGAGCTCCCCGAGGAAAGAGACTGCTGGATGGAGGGAGAAAAACGGAGCGAGGCAAGGGGGACGAAGTGGGGGAGCGGGGGAAGAAAGAAGCAGGTCACGGGGCCCAGCCGGAGCTCAGCTCCCAGCAGCTGTGAAATCCTCCCGTTTCCTCGGCAGGCGTAAAAAAGAACACGGGAGAGAGGGAGGGAAAAAAAAGAAAGAGAAAAGAGTTAAGGAGAGAGCTTGGCCAGTAAAACCCACCATTACAGCGCTAAATCCCTAAAGCGCCACATGCTGGACGATAATTCCCCAGATTTAGGGAATGCCAAATTACAAATTACGGCTGCTGTTTGTTTTAAGAAGTCCAGAAGTCCACAACTACCTCCCCCCCCCCGAACACAGATGACTTATTCACTCCATAAATCCTCTAGACAACGGCGCGGCCGTCAAGGGAGAGCGGGGGAGGCGGTGAGCGAGGCGCGCATGGCGAGGCCCCAGACGAAGGGAGGGAGGGAGTGGAAGAGCGGAGAGAAAAGTCTCCATGTCCGCGTTGCTTTTACTTAACAACACGGCCGGCTAATTAATTTAGAAATATCGGAGACAACCTTAATAGCGTTCTTTTAATGGCAAAACGCCTCCACGCTTCATTTCTGCACAATAGGCCACCGGAGCAAGGCAATGCAGCCGAGGAGGGAGGGCGGCGTAATCAGCAGAATGACCTTGAGGCATAAAATTTATGAAAAGCATTGATCAGTTAAGGATGTGATTTCACTCAGACACGAAGGTCAGCAATTACCCCAGACTCAATTAACCTCATTTAGTAAAGACTGCTGAGAGACCAGTTTCTCCCCCCGCCCCTCCCTTCACATCCCATAACCCAGCACACATCAGCCCCTCCCTGCTTTATATCAAATGATCCCCAGGCTTTCAGTCTTACCTTTGATCTGGGAGCTCTATTTAATGCCCCGCATTCCACACAGCAGAGCAAATTATCTCCTAGCAGTAAGAAACCTTGCAGTCAGAGATTAGGTAAGCCCCAGACCAAATACAAGCAGATTCCTGATACAGCCCTCCTCTGTTTGTGGGTAAAGGAGGAACAGCCTTGCCCTTCCATGGTACACTTTCTAAACACCTTGGGGCGGCTTAATCACGACAGCTGCGGCGTGAAAACAACAAACCTGTCGGCAGGCTTTGTTGCGGCCTCATGTCTGTGAAGACTGTAATTGCTATTTAGTCGTGACTCATTTGGAGGGTTTCGTATCAGACAGAAAGCTGCTGGACAAGGTCTGAGGTGTTTGGTGTTAATCACATAGAAAGTGCCTGAGAAAAGTATTCGTACGACAGGATATGTTTTTAATTTTCATCTTAATTTAACTCAGTCCATCATATTTCTGCCACCTCTTTGTGGATGATATGTTCACTCACAACATGCTGGACATAGGTCAGAAAGTTACATTTTGGTCAATGTTTTATTTACTTTTTTTTACTAGAGCTCTTTCTTCCGCATGTTTGCCGTGTCGCCAGCTGCAAACAGAACGTCTTGTTACTTTCCTCTTTTTCCATGG